GGTCACCTGCGCTATCATGCCATCTGGAACAATTTGCTAACAATGTCAAACTGCATATTTTAGTTAACTTTTTCTGTTTCTGATGATCAGGATGAGGTAAATAAGTAACAGTAAATCAGCAATGATGCTTTATCTGCACTTAAAAAAAGTTTCCTCCTGCTGGATATGGTTGTGGGGAATAATTGAGTGTAGTCAAGGTTTTGCTCTGAGTTGGCTCAAACAGCTAACACAGCAGTGAAATTAATAATGCTTTTATTTCTAAAGCTAGGCTGGATCATACATTGTTCATTGTTACACCTCACTGACATTTTTGACTCAGTCAGGAAGGGCTTTTGTAGTCTTTCTCACCTTGAGTAGTACCTTGCTCTACAAGCAACTCCAGGGCTTCTAATAGACCTACTGTCTCACTGGAGCTAAAGTGTCAGGATCCAGCACTCTGTACTTTGTTTTAATTTCATTTCCATATAACTGAAGAAAAACACCCTGACAAAGGAAGTCACCGCTCTAAAGAAGGCTAAACCTTTTTCCTCCTCTTCTCCTTGCATAGCTTTACAATGGTGATTTTTATCAGAAGAGTCATCTGCCAGGTTTTATGAATCGGTGCTCATGTTGTGGATCTATTAGGGGTTTGTACTTCTCTCCACAATGAAGTTGGAGGAAGTAACAAGGAGGCAGCTGCTTAGGTCAAGTGGCAGTGTCTGTCCACTCCTAAGCCTGTAGCCAGAATAAACAGTGTGTCTTTACAGTCAATCTAGCAAATGATGTTACAAAAATGGGATGTTTGCACTAATGACTTAGTCAAATACATCTGGAACCTTTTTCCCCAAAGAAATGAAACTGATGTAATAACACAACACAGTCTCCTCAGTATGTAAATCACAAAGCTGAGGACATTATGTAAAGAAAACCGAGGAAAGCTGAAGATTTGCTCAAGTAATTTCCTGGTCTTACCCCATACGAGATCTTGCAGATGGCAGGAAGGAAGAGGAAAAGCAGCAAACCCTCTAGCTTCCAATTCTCTTTTCACAATAAGATTTTACACCACTGAGAACCTGGAATTTTCTGCTCTTATTTCTGGTTAAGTGGCATCTGCATTCCTCATAGCCATAGGCTGCAGTGTGCATAATATTGCCTTAATCCACTGGCTTAAACACAGGTCAATGTAAAACTTACCACAACATTTTCACACATTTACAGACATCCATATCAATACACAGGATAGAGGCTAAAGTATTACTGTAGTTGAAGGCTGTGAGATGTAGGTATGTTTTGCACCTTTGACTCCTACAACCTTCATTTCATAGCAAGACGCTAAGACTAAATGAAAATTTTCTCCCTGGCTATGTGCAGATTCACTTGCATACAGAGAATGTTTGTGTACTGAAAGGCACCATCACCTGTGGATGCATGGTAGTTCTTTTATAAACCTTATTGCTACGCTTGGCTGATAGGGTACTTTAATCTTTTCACCTCTGATGAGCCTGATCAACAGGGTCAGTGTTTCTACTCACGTAGATCTTGATGCTTGAATATTTGTGTGGATTGCTATGAAAGTGTCACTCAAGGAGGAAATTGGGGCTTTCAGGTATATAGCAGGGGCTTTCAGATTGGCTATAACGTAGACCAGGTTAGCAACTTTGAAGAAATAAAGTTCTGCTGAAGACAGCAAAGTCCTTCTTCTCATGGATGCAAAATCCTTTCTCGGTATTGATGGGATCTGGGTTCAAGAAAGAACTTATTATTTCTGAAATATGGAATCCATTTGTTCTTGGAACACATGTCCTTTTTATGCCCTGGTTCATGAGCTGGTTGCAAAGCTACAAATTTGCTATAAAATTCCTTTTAAGGTGCAGTGCTGCTAGAAATTTGTAGAATAATAGGGATCCTTTCATCCTTTGTATTTAAACATGTAATTTGCTTTAACAGGATCTGATCAACCATTAAATCCTGCTCTGTTTTATGTGTTTAACAGAAAACATACTTGCACAAGTAAAATAGACTGCATGCAAGACTACAATATACCTATTTATGTTCAACATATAACGAGGTCTCACAGAGCTACTTTCGTCCTGAGGGGTTTAACAGCTCTGTTGCAAAACCATCAGTGGAAGGTCAAACCTTTTGGAAGAAAAGCTGCAGTGCAGCACACTGCTAGCATGTGTTTGTTAGGCCATTGGGTTGATAGTCCCAAAGTGGTGGTTCAGCTCCTACAAGATGGATGCTCCATCACAGTACTTCAGTCAAAACGTATCTGGATGATCATAGAATCACAGAATCACAGACTGGTTGGGGTTGGAAAGGACCTTAAGATCATCTAGTTCTACCCCCCTGCCATGGGCAGGGACACCTCACACTAGACTGTGATCCACTCCAGTCATCTTCTATCCAAGAATGCCAGCATTCTGTGGCAGGATCTGCTTTTGTTAGATAATGCCTTGTGGAAGAGTCAGTTCAAGGGGTCTCACTCCTTGCTGAAAGGAGTATGGGGTATGAATCTTTACCATAAGGGAAGTTTCAAAGTCCAGAAGGTTCTGAAGTCCAGGAGAGGATGCTAGCTTTTTAGAAACATTTGCAGACCAGGTTGGGCAAGGCTCGGAGCAACCTGGTCTAGTGGAAGGTGTCCCTGCCTGTGGCAGGGGGTTGGAACTGGATGAGCTTTGAGGTCCTTTCGAACCCAAACCATTCTAGGATTCTTCGAGTCTGTAAAGTTGAATGTCTCTAATGTTACTAATGTAACATGGAGAAGAAAAAAGTTCTTAGTGTTCAAGGTTTCTCTGAAAAACATGCAATAGAATTGAATATTTACTGACTCTTTTTTAAAATTTATTATTAGCCAGAGAATTACAAGGTTTGCCTTTTTTTTCCATGAAGAGGAAAATGCAATTTTTCATGTAGTCCTGTTTGCTTACCTAAGCAGCGATTAAGCAAGAAGGGAGACTATTTTGGCTTGTGGTTCAAAGGCCTTTTCAAAAATCAACTCAGCTAACCAGTCTGTACATATGGATTGGAGGCCCTCTGGTTTCAATTGTCAGATCCTGTGAAGTTATTTACAGAGTACCAGGAGGACATCATAAACATAAGCATTAGTGGAAAAAACAAGAAATGAATTGAAAGAGATACCTTAAAGACATTTTCAGACTTGGAACTAAGAACTGATAACTTACTTGATATCTTGGCCTTTGTATTTCTCTAGGAATTCTGTTTTCTTTGATGTCATTCATATTTTGAAGATTCATCTAATGCAACATATTTGTTGTATCAAGCCGAAGGTGAAAATTTAAAATACTTAATAAAACTTAAGAGCCACATTTTGATAACCTTTCCATCCTTTTGAGTAGTGGACGTTATTTACTAAAGGTTTCCTTCTTTCAAGGAAAAGCAGGGTTTAATTATTTTTTGTCTTTGAAATATTCTGTGGCAATGAACACCCCAACCTTTCCTATCAGTTCAATGGGTATAGAATCATAGAATGACAGAATGGTTTGGGTTGGAAAGGACCTTAAGATCATCTAGTTCCAAACCTGCCATGGGCAGGACTGCAACTCGCTGGTCATTGCAGTTTTTAAGATAATAGTTAAAACCCCCAAAATTCTTGGGTTTTTACATATATATATATTTAATGCTAAGGATTACATCTGTGTAACCAGTTTTAAGAGAATACTTTACCATGATTATCATGAAAAATAGCACATAGTACATTTGGCTTGTTCTTTTACAAATCCCAAATCTTTTGGCTGACTAAATGACCCCAAGACCTCTAAAACATTCTGTGATCTGTCTAATTGAGTGCACTGATGTCTGCTGGAAAACAGATGTGATCAACTGCTCGCATCTGTGAAGCTGAAGAAAATGTAGCATGGTTTTGTCAGGAAAACTTTATCAGTAACTCTACCTCTTTCCAAGGCATAGATGTAATCCATAAATAAAGGAGTTGCCATTTGATGAGAAGGAGGAAATTCTATCTTAGTCAGTGACAAGGAAAGTGAAACATGGTCACCCAGAATTCCTGCAATTCAAAGCCAGCTCATGCCCACTTTAATTATGGTGATGTATGTTCCCATTCAACTTTAATAGGGCTGCTTGTACGACTAACGGATCTCAATTGCAAGGGTCACATTTGCTTTGCTTTTTTTATCTGTAGTTTAGAGTTAGAAATCCTGCAGAAAGGACAAGGACCTTTTGAGAAAGCCATCTGTTCTCCTGAGTGCCTCCCCCAGGAAAGATTAGTGCAAACCCAGGGTGGTCAGTTTGGGTATGTCACCGAAAGTTGGGAGAAAAACTCCTTAATACCAATGTAGCATTAAGAAGCAGGTATTATTTATTATGGTCACAAATACACTCCCAGATAGCAGCTGAGTGCCAGGGAAAATAGACTGGCCTCATCGTGTCTTAAGAAGCTGTGGGACAAAGCAAAGCCAAAGCACAGAGTGTTTTGGAGAGGACTGGATTAGTGTTAAGACTGCATGGCAGAAACCTTCATGTACCCTGAAGGAAACCAGTGACAGCAAATAGATCAGTCAAGGAGGTCACTCTAACAATTGTTACATTTGTGTGTCATTTTAGCTTTAATTTCACCACAGGTTTTTCAATTCCAGTGGAATATTAGAAATTTAAAATTTCATATAGCAAGGGAAGGTGTTTTCATGAGCACAGATCTACAAAAGTGTGGGAAGTAGATTCATGATTGAGTAACTTGTCAGTGGTCACTGCAGTATTGGTGAGGATGGAGACTGCACATGCTAGTAATTTTGATTAGTGGAGGATTTGGTACTGTCAAGAAGTTTAAAGAGTTTTGGTTTTGTTCCAAGCTCTTTAGACTCTGGATGGATTGAGATAGTCTGAGGCTTTGGCAGTCATTGATGGGTTTGCACTTGGACCTCATTTCCCCTTTATCTGTAAATGATAAAGTCACCCACACAGCATCTATCTTCTGTGTTGATGTCTCCTTGGAAAACAGTATGTTTTAACCAACTGCTGTTTATCTTTGGGCAGGGTGAGGTGTGTCTTAGAGAGCTCAGCCCCACAGCAGTGAGATGGAGTGGTGACTCCGGCTGACCCTGGGAACCACCACGCTGCATCTGTTCCAGGAAGCATTTCAGCCCATTAAGAGGGCTGGCACACCTTGACATCCCAGATGTCCATAAAACTGTTAAGGTAGGTAACATTTTCAGGCACTATTTACCTGTGAAGCTTAAGGCATGTCTTACTTTTATGTGAAAATTGGACTCCTCATGCCAGCATGTGACTTTGGGAGCTGTGATAATAATCAGGGACCTATAATACATGTGCTTTGATCTTGTTACTTTTTAATACGAAAGCCTTGCAGATGTCTATTATGCAGGCATACAATGTTTCACTACAGATTTATAATTACTTTTATTCCTAGTAATAATCAAATTGAAATCAAAGACCAGTAAAAAATTTATTTTGGACTATCATTCTTGGCCATCTCCAAGCTCATTCAGAAGAAATTAAAAATCATCAGTGAACTAATACTGTATCTTTTCAGAGGACACAGGCTCTTAGTTTCCATGCAAACTGCTTCTGCAGCTGACATTTGCTTATGAAGCCAAATCCATATCTCAGGGCAGACCAGAGGGAATGTGTCTATTCTGGTTCCTGAGAAAAAAAAGCAGACAAGAGCTATTTCTAGTGGCCCTGCAGGTCCAGTGTGGCTGGCTGAGAACTTTGAAGCAAAGTCTGCCCTTTCAAAACTGAACCCAATGATATGGATTTTGAACAGGGCTCACAGACTTAAACCCATAAAGGAGGAAATTGAGACACTTTGTGATAGAACAAGCAGCTTCTCCGCCTCTTGGAATGAGAATTATCTTTGAGAAATGGGAAAAGAAGTACATAAGAAACTAACTCAGTAGAATGAATCTATATATTAGAGGACACTAGGAAAAATGCCCTGGCTTGTTTTCTTCAAAACATTTCAATAGGCTTCTGGTAAACTAGGAAAAACAAAGAAAAAAGCTGTCAGCATAGGCCAGCAAACAAACGATAAATGCTGTCAGATGTGTGGAATGCTCACTCTCTTACTTTTATTTACAAGGCTATACAATAAAACATCCAGCCAGTGTATGTGACTATGATATGGGAGAGGAGGGAATGAGGGAAGGTGTAGAAGAAGGTTGAAGACTTTTAAACCTGGATACTTAATTCTACGTCTCTAAATCTATATTTCTTATACAATTATTTTGAGAGGTGCTTCTACATCTCACAACTCCCCCCCCCCCCCCCCCAAATCATTTAAGGTTGAATTATCTTCTTAAGATGATGTGATCCAATGTTCTTTATTCAGTGAAGGGAAGCACCTATAAACCATTTCTTTTTTGAATGACTCTATTTCTGGATTCTTGCTTCCCCTAAATAAGAAGATCTGAAATGCTTTCTCATGAACATCAGAGGATGCAGGAGTAGAGGGCATGCTGTGTTTTCTAAAAGGCAGTCAAACAATAAGCAGTGATACATCTTAATGCTAAAAATGAAAGCATTTCAAAAACATATCCAGTCTGCAAAGAAAGAGGAAGAAACTGGTAGATATTTCATTTTCTATCAAACACTAGCCATTCATAAATTGTTAAACAATGGAAACTGCATGCAGTGGTTGCGCCTGGACTTCGAGTGAACCATAACATTCCACAAACTTGCAGAGCTAGGCATGAAGCGCTACTATTGGGAGGCTGCATCTGCGAGTATCTGCTCACTTAAACCCCAGGGTAGAGGATAAATTTTCATGGAGCTTATAGTGATTTATCATGGGAAGCATAGGCTTTTTCATAGACATTGTTCTCAGTGACAGTGTAAAGAAAGAGAGCACTAAATCTCTTCTCATCATAACTAATGATTAAGTCAGCAGCTTTTTGGCGAATACAGAATACCCTTCTACAAAAAAACAAAGTATTCTATTGTGATGTATTACATTTAAAACCCCCATAAGTATCCCATAAGGCTATTGCAATATTTTTAACTAGATCTTCCCTCTTTGTCACCATATTGAAATAAATGGAATGTGTCAGACTGAGTAATGCTCTTTCAATAAGTTTTTAGGAGCTCACTTAGAAGTTTGGCAAAATATAAAGAAACGAGGAAAACTTTCTCAGGATCCTCTATGGCCTGAATGAAAGATCAGTCCATTAAGGAGAAAAGCTTATGCTGATGCTGACACTAATAAATGGGACAGGGAAAGATATTTCTGCCTAGTTTGGGCTACCTTGCTCTAAGCCTGCTGCCTCAAGTTGCCCTGCGAAATGAATCAGCCAGCTGAAGATGATTCATTGCATTACAAAGTTCCCATCAATATAATGGGGAAATCAGTTTTGTGTGAGTGTTCAAATGTGAGCCCAACCTCAGCTATCAGGAGTGACAGGGACAGCAGCTGCTCAAAAATTAACTCCCCTGCACCCACTGTTCAGTCCTGGATTTGAGCTGTGGTACTAGGAATGCCTCTTCTTTCAGAGTGCATTACTGTTATTCAGTCTGGATGCTGAACTTGCCTCAGCATCATATGTTATTTGGAAGAAAATACCATGATTTTGGTCAGCTGTTCCTTCTGCAGTGTTTTAATTTCAGATGCAGTCTCAGCCCTGTTGAAGCCAGCCATCACCAGGGCCAGGCTTTTATTCTCAATTTTGACCCTTGAGGCAAGTTTTTAGAAGGTGGACCTTCAGAGCTACATCTCGCTTGGATTTTAAGGTTCTCTTATAGGGAATATAAATACATTTTCTTTTAGAAATACGCTCCCTAAATATTCCCTAAAATATTTTACACATCAAACCACTTTTAAAAAATAACTCCTCGGTGCTCCTCGGATGGAAAAACCTGCAGTAGAATGGCAATGGGAAAGAGCTGTGTTTAATCATTAATCATTGATGATGGTAAGACTTGAGGTCTCCATTGGTCTCCATGTTACAAGTGCTGTATTTTAACACCATCCATCTTTCATTCTTTAGGAAATAAATAGATTAAGGAGAATCCATTTTCAAGAGTTTCTTCTTTTGTGACGCTTGATCTTACAGTGTGTTCTGATATTAGCTATTTGAAACATTTCTGAAATGTTTGGAAATCTTGCCTTGTAAGTCCTTTTTTATATCTGTGTAACATAGTCTTTCTGAGTAGGCTCTGGGCAGTGTACAGCTATCAGCTACTTTCATCTCCTGAGCCATAGGCAGCTCTAATTTTCAAACATGCTTTTCTTCTACCCCCCTCTCCCCCTGCTTTTCTTTATTGTTATGTCTTTCCCATCAAGGCAATTCACCCTGAAGTTCAGATGACACACACTTAGGGAGATGTGGTGGAGAATCAGCCCTTTGTGAGCGTGTGAAGGATGCTTTCCTTGACCTGTCAGGGAACATATTTTGCTTGATGAGAAAGAATGCTGTCCCAAATTCCTCCCTACTGCAAGCAGGCTGCTAGAAGTGGACTTACATTAGGGATGAATATGGCCTACTCCAGCTGGCAGAAGGTCTCCTGAGCAGATGACACTGTTTACAATGTATTGGCTGCTTTCACTGCTCTGTTAAGTGATGGTAGGTGTTTCTACCAAACAATGCAAACACAAAGTAATTTGTTTGTGAGGGCCTAATCCTGAAGCTCTTATTTGGTGTTTACAAAAGTTAAATTCAGCATTTACTCAGCTAACCTCTACTTGAGTTCACAAGGAGTTAGCCATGGTGAGGACAAGAAGAGGACTGTGGGAGCATGCTGTTTGTTTTTGGCCATAGCACAAAGATGCTTTACATTAAAAACACATACTGAAGAAAATAGAGGTGCACACAATTACTGCCTATATGCATGCGGCACTATATGTGTGCACACGAACACAATTGCACACTAATCTAATCAATACATTCATTTCTGATTGAAACATAATTACGCATCCCAGGAGGCTGGAACAGAAAAGTCCCATTAACCCCTCATGCCCTTTTCAGCTTTCCTCTGCCTTTCCATCTAACAGACCTCTGTGTCACTCCACTCATAAGCAGTTACTGTCTATGACATTGTTACATAAATAAGGATGTCGACCTGTCAGAATGGGTCACCCAATTCAAGGGTGATGATAAATATCTGTCCCTATGAATTAGGCTAAAGACACCAGAGTACAGGACAGCTACTGTTGATTATTGGATAGTTAATGTATAGAGGACAAAAGGTGCTGAGGCCTGGTCACTTTTTGGATCATTAATATGGATTTAGGCCTATTGTTAATAAAAAAAGAAGCACACACACACACAAAACTAGGTTAGCAAGAACATGCAACTTTGATTTGGGACAGGATGCATAGATAGTGGGGAGATTCATGGTATGGAAGGTGTGGCTTTTACATCAACCCAATGATGCTTTTCATAAGCAAACAAAATATCTGGGGGTCAGGCTGAAAACAGATTGTGCTCCCCCATGCTTGCAAATGCATGTAATAGGAAGTAAAAGGCACAGTGGATGCCTTTAACTAAGCAGAAATCACTCCAGGAAGGGGAATATGCAAAAAAGCATCATTCAATTCAGGAGCAGCTTGAGAGCTGCTGCTGAGGCTCTTCTCATGGTTTGCACTGAAAACCATCCGTTATTGCCAAGACTCTTAGGAAACCCTGCTTTATTTTCAAAACACCTTCTTTTACTTACACAGGGAAAGGACTGGAGGGTATCACTAACCCCAATTCATTCATTTAGTGATTGCTATCTTTCCACATTAGTGACAGGTTTTTCCTTGCAGGTAGAACCAAAGTGTGATGAAACACATAGCTTTGATTTTAATAGCTGATGATGTAAAAATATCAAGGCAGTCCGTAGACAGAAGCTCTTGCCGTTCTAAATAAGATTGAATTAAGACCATTAAGACTCAGTGCTGTAACTTGCTGAAAATATTAAGTGCTGGGCAGGAACATCTCTTAGGATTTCTTTATCTACAAGTCTAATCACAGCACCCACAACTTTCCTGGAATTCAGTGTCCCACAGGATCACTGTCATGCCAGTGTCAAGAATTGATTACAACGACTTGCTCTGAAGGGCAGATCCAGTCTGGAAGGGAGCTAAATATCCTGTAAAGCAGTCAGTGTAAGTACACCATGTCTTTGTAGAGTCAGGCCCTTCAGTTAGTTTTACTAACTATTGAATTATTGAGTTCTATGATTCTATGATTCTAGCTTTG